AAAGAAATAGACAATGTAAAGAACCAAATAAAAATTTTAGAACTGAAAAATATGATGACCATTGAACCCCCCAAACAAAACAAAACAAAACAAACCTTCAGTTGTTGGGTTTAACAGCAGAATGGAGGGCATAGAGGAAAGAATTTGTGAACTTGAAGATAGAACATTAGAAATTACCCAATCTTAATAAGCTACAGAAAATGGATTAAAAAAAGAAATGAGCACAGAGAGCCGTAGATACCTGTGGACTATCACAAAAGATCTAAGATTTTTGTTTTTGAAAGGAAAAGAGAGGGCAGTGTTGAAAAAGTATTTAAAGGCTGAAACCTCCCCAAATTTGATAGACCCAAAACATAGATTCAAGAAGCTAAGTGAATATCAAAATAGGATCAAACGAAAGTAATCTACCTAAGAAACATCATACTCAAACTTATAAAAACTATAGGGAATAAGATCTTGAAAGCAGTGAGAGGTATGATACTTAACTTATAGGGGGACATGACCTGAGCCAAAATCAAGAGTTGGACGTTTAACCCACTGAGCCGCCCAGACGCCCCTGCAGAGTTGATTTTAAAAATGAAAGACAACTGTATGCTGTCCACGGGAAACTTCAAATATAACAATATAGGTAGTTAGTAAAAGGTTAGAAAAAAATGTCTTGTAAATATTCAGATATTAGTTAAAAGAAGTAGAAGTGGCTATATTAATATCAGATAAAGTAGACTTCAGAGCAAAGAAAAATGCCAGAGGTAGAAGATTATATATAATTATAAAAAATGTCAGTCCATCATGAAGACAAGAATACTAAATGTGTATGAACCAAATAGAACTGCAAAATATGTGAAGCAAAAACTGATAGAACTAAGAGGAGAAATAGATGAATCCATAATTATTGTTGGAGATTTGACATCCTTGTTTCAACAATTGATAGAAAAATTAGAAAATCAGGGAGGATCTAGAACTCAACAACACCATTAACCAGAAAAATCTAATTGATATTTATAGAACACTCAACCCAACAAGAGCACCTAAACATATTTTTTTCAAGTGGCTACTGAATATATACCAAAACAGGCTATATCCTGGGCCATAAAATAAACCTCTACAGATTTATAAAAATTGAGATTATACAGAGTGAGTTCTCTAACCACAACAGAATCAAACTAGAAATCAGTATCAGAAAGATAGTAGAGAAATCCTCAAACAGTTGGAAATGAAATGACACACCTCAAATAATTCATGAGTCAAAGAGGAAATTTCAGTGAAAACATATTAATCAAAAATAATTTTAAAAAATTCATTAGCCTGAATGAAAATGTAACATGTTAAAATATTCAGGATACAGCTAAAGCAGTGCTGAGAGAAAATGTATGGCATTAAATGCATTCATTAGAAAAGAGGAGAAAAACATCAAATTAGTACTCTAAGCTCCCACCTTAAGAACCTAGAAAAAGAGGATCAAAATAAACACAAATAAGGAGAGGGAAGGAAATAAGAAAGATAAGAGTAGAAACAATGAAATTGAAAACAGAATCAGTGAAGCAAAGAGCTATTCTTTGAAAGGATTAATAAAATTGACAAACCTCTAGCAAGACTGCCAAAAAAGAGGGAAGACACAGATTACCTATGTCAGGAATGAAACAGAGTATCACTACAGATCTTGCAGACATCAAAAGGATAATAAAGAAATCTGGTGAACAACTCTACCCAAACAAATTTGTCAAACATAGATGAAATGGATCAAAAGGCAGATACTACTGTAACTCACCCCATATGAAATAAATCATGTGAATAGCCATATAGCTATTAAGAAAACTGAATTCATATTGAAAAACTGACCAAAGAATGGTGTCACTGGAGAATTCTATGAAGTGTTTAAAGAGGAATGAAAACCAGTTCTATACAGTGTCTTTCAGGAAATAGAAGAGGAGAGGGATGTTACCAGGTGGGGAAACTGGACAAAGGGTACACAGAAACTCTTTATTTTTTACAATTGCATATGAACCTACCATCATCGAAAAATAAAGTTTAATTAAAAAGGGGGGGGCGCCTAGGTGGTGCAGTCAGTTAAGCAACCAACTCTTGGTTTCAGCTGAGGTCATGATCTCAGGGTCATGAGATCGAGCCCACGTCAGCCTCCTCGCTCAGCTGGAGTCTGCTTGAGATTTTTCTCTCCCTCTCCCTCTGCCCCTCCTGCTTGTGCACTCTCTCTCTCTCTCTCTCAAATCTTAAAGATAAACAGAAAAAAGTTATTTTCTGCAGAAGAACAAAGGTAAGAATGACAACAGATTTCCTTTTGGAAATACAAGCCCAAAGACAGTAGAGAAATATCTTTAAAATATTAAAAGCAACAATGACAACAAGTTAGGCTGTTTGATTCCAGAGCCTGTACTCTCAGCCATTTCTCTATGCTGCATCCTAAAGGTAATAAAAACAGAGATGGATAGAGCAATTACATATACCACTTTCTCCTTTTGTGTGCCTGGGGAGTTAGAATGGTACGCCCATCCTTTGAAAAGATAAACAACAACTATTCCTAGTCCTGGATTTGTTTCTGTTGTTTCCTTTACTTCATCAATCTTTTAAAAGTAAAATTGGTTAATAAATCATGTTTGCTGTCAAGTAAGCTTATGTTCAAGAAGAGAATAAATATAGAGGTAACTGTAATACAGGCAAATTTGGCTAAATGTCATAAAGTAGAAATTCAGACAAAGCCTTTGGGAAATTTAGAGCAAGGATTGAGAGTACAACAAATTACAGGTATCAAGGAAGATTGCTTGTGAATCTGAGAGTGGAGGAAGAGGGAAGAGCTGAGGATGTCCGAGATCTGTGTCCTGATGACTGGGCCGAGAGCAGTGTCATCGTGGTGGTTAAATAGAAGTTCTTGGATAGCACAGGTTTTGTGATTATTTGCTTGTCGGCTAGGTTCTGCAATGTATCCTTACTACCTAGAACAGTGCTGGGTACATAGTAAGTACTCAGTATTTGTTACATGAATGAGTAAACAGAGAAATTAGAAGGCAGCGATCACCAGATTTTGTAAGAATGATTTGATGGTGAGCTCTAGTTGGAGAGTTATAAATGTGGAATCTAATCCTCACTACGCCATTAGCCAGGTCTGACCATAGTTTCAGCTACCACTCCAGCTGTCACACAGATGGCTCTCAAAACTACTGGAGAGAGCAATAATATAGGAAACATGCTGATGAAGAACATTAGCTGTCTGACCCCATATGTAAAATGAAGAGGACAAGAGAAATGATTGTTAGTAAGTGCAATTTTATGTCTAGTGCACTTAGCTCAGCATTTGGTCCATTGTACTCAATACAGGGCACCATTGTCTGAACTTGAGTTACACATGGGCTCCTGATCTAGATGAGCCACCACACCTCTGATATAGCACATTAAAACTGTGTTTGAGTTACCTCATGCAAAAAGCTAAATGGTATTTTAAAGATATCCAGCCTAAGACCTTCATTTTAATTTGTGCCAAAGTGAAAAAGTAACTTGCACAAAGTCACACAGCTAGCTGAAGGAAACAAAATATGGAGGGGAAAAAGGTATTCAGGGACCAAATATGGGGCTAATGTTTACATGTAAAGAGTGGGAGGAAAAATAGGAGAGAGACACTAATTAGTTGGGCTTGACACTGACTTTTACAGCTGCCTCCTATAATGAATTTTATTTTCTGGAAAAAAATGATATTTGCCTGCTAGATAGCTCTACCTTTCCCATTGACATCTTTATTTCAACATGTCTAAAACCAAACTGGAATCACTACATGTTAAAACTGAAAAAGAGTTTTGAGGGTTTCCATTCTAAACTCTCATTTTACAGAAGAGGAAAACAGATTCTGTACTGGGGTGGAGATCTCACCCTTCTTAGATTCATTTATAGTAACATGAGCCATCATTCATCTCTTGGGTCACTTTTGCCTAGGTTGCAGAGCATTACTTAAAGTCCTTTTGGCTTAGAGTGATCCTTCTAAGCTCATCCTGGCTAGTTTTTAAGAGCAGTGGGTTTTTGTTGTTTTGTTGCTGTTTTTTGTTTTTTCATTTTTCTCTTTTTATTTTTTTTCTTCAAACAGCTGAATCCTTTAAGTTGAATCATATGAAGAAACCCCATATGTAAAAAGAGACTAACAAGAGGAGGTGCCCTGGTTAGCTAAGATATGGTGGTGGTTGGGGAGATCAGGAAAGGGAAAGGAAGAATTTTACTCTGATAACTTGGCGCTAGGGGTGAGGGTCCTTCGGAGTGCCCCTGAGGTTAGGAAGCAGTCTGAAACTCACTGATTTGGAGGCATGTGGGATCCGGGAGTGGTGGTTGGCACGAATGAGAAGGTTGGTGGTGTTTCTCCTCATCAAGTTCCCCCGTGACTTCCACGTACCCTGGAGTAATGATTTTTAGTTCTTTTTGAATCTAAGAAGTAAGAATGAGGCCATCAGTGCAACTGGGGTCTTAATAAACTCCCAGCCATCATTTAAAAACTCTCATCAGTCACATTTGTAGTTATTTACACAGACAAGCAGCTTTTTTGTGAATTAAGTGGCTTGGAATAGATAATTTTAATAGTATAGACATAGCCCAAGAATTATTGTCACATGAGGAAAAGCTTAGCAGCAATCAGCATATTGATCTTGCATAAACCGCTATAATATTCTGATGAATTGTAAAATACTTGACACATTTTTAATTGTTTTTCTAGTATTATTTATAATTTTGGATTTTAGTCAGCAACTGATGAAGCCCTGTTTTAGACACCATGGGGAGATAGAAGGAAAATAGGCCAGGTCCCTGCCCTCACATTTGAGTCATGCTGAGTGCAGAATGAAGAACGTGACATTTTAGGTTTTTTTCCTTTGTACTTGATTTCACCACCTGAGCTTTCTTTTTTATATTGTGTAATTTTTAATTTTAATTTACTGACTTGTACAAAAGCATATTCACGACTGAAAATTCAATAATTTAAGGTTCTGTGCTTTCTTTCAAATTATTATTAGGTTGCAAGCCTGGAGAAAGATAAAGAAGAACTACTTAATCAACTGATTAAGGTTGATCCCCCAGGAGAAAGCAAACGAACGGAGCTACTTGCTCGAGAGAATGTCCATTTGTGTCAGAAATTAAAAGGTTTAGAGGCTGAAGTAGCAGAATTAAGGGCTGAAAAAGAGAATTCTGGTGCTCAGGTAGAAAATGCCCAAAGAATTCAGGTGCGGCAGTTGGCTGAGATGCAGGCTACAGTCAGATCCCTGGAGGTAAGATTTTAATTGCTTCCCAGTAGAGTATGGCATGCTTTTTTAAAAGTGCAATTGACAAGCCTTTGATTTTTAGACCATAAATGTATGCTCACCAATCTAATGCTGACGTATTTGAGAGTCCCAAGAGTATATATATTCTTTTTGTAAAGAAGAAAGCTATTGATTCATAAGCAGTAGCTATGCTGCCATATTTACAAAGGGATTATTTATTCTTTGGGAGAATGAATTAACCCTTGAAGTGCCAGAAAGTAGAATATGCCAAATTTTCAAAATTTGAGCTCTGAGGATTAAAGTCCTCTCAAACCAGAAAAAACAGTTTCTTCCTAGATAGTTATTTCCTTTCATGGGATTCAGGATATTAAAATTATAAATCTTGTTTAAATAAAAATACCATACTTTTATATCTTATGATAGTTTCTTGCTGGAGTAATACAATTCAACTTGGTGCTAATGTATATAAGCCTTTAGTGAAATATTTCCCTGAGTTCATTAGAGAAAGATAAGAGCTGGGAGAGGTAGGCTGGTACTCCTAGAGGTATTCTCTGAAAATTCTTGTTTTCCATTGTTGGAGAGGAAAACCTTTTTCTTTATCCTCCTAGGTTCACAGGTTGGAAGTTGTGAATTAAACTGACAAAAGACAGATTAACAAGAGAAAAAATATTTATTTGTGTTTGTGTACAGGAGTTCACAGAAAAATGTGGCTACAAGTGGTAGTTAGAATTTGGGGCTTACATACCACCTTAATAGAGAAAGGAGAGGGGGAGAAAGGGCACTTACAGGAACACAAATGACTTTTAGGAAAGATAAATGGGCCTTTAGGAAAATATATGGGAGATATGACAGTTTTGTGACAATGTGTAGGTGATTTCTTATCCTGGTACTGATTTCTTCCTTAATAGGAGTCAGTCTTCCCTGGCTATGAAACCCCAGGGGAGGGGATTTATAATTCTTTTTGGAGGCTCTGCTTTTTGGCAGCTAAGAGAAGTTCAGGGAAAAACCTTTTCCTGTGTCTATTGAATCAAATGCCTTCAGCTCAAAATAATTTTTATGCCACTGTGGCATATTCTGCATCCCTTAACCATCTTGTTTAGGTGTGCTTATTTTTCCTAGTTCTTAGTGTCTAACACGTAACAGATATACCAGTTTAATTGTTTTGATTTATTTTGAGCAATCCAGAGAGAGAGAAAGAAAGAGTGTGTGTGTGTGTGTGTGTGTTAGAATAGTTGTGAAATGATTAGAGTTGTAGGGAAATTAGTGGGCACCTAGCAAAATAATGATTTTTTTTTTTTTTAGCCAACAGACTGGGTACAGGGAGCACATTGATATGTTTTGAAGCATAGAAGTCACCTTTTTATTTTTGGATGAAGCCTCTGACAGTATTTACTGGTTTCCTGAAGTAAAGTTGTATCATTGGACCTTAGACATGAGGCAGTTCAGAATGGTACTGTTATGTTGCTACCCTCCCATCCTTAATGTATTAATAGTGACAGAATAAGTGGGATGAATGCAGTTGAATATAGCATATGATCCCAATGCAAAGCTTTTCATTGAGGTCATTTAGAGTGATGATTTTCAGGACAGGTTGAATGATTACAAAAGGTGGGAGGTTCCTTTGTGACATTTTCAAAATAGCTTGTAGTTAATTTTATCATTTGTCAGATGAAATGAAAAGAAGCATTCCTTTCTTTGATTTTTTTGGCTGTCATTGTGCCCAAAGAGTATCATTTTGTATGTGAGGAAAATAGCTTTTTTCTGAATTATTTGTTGAATATATTCTTAATCATATTTAAGATATATAGGAAATGAGATCTTATAAAACTGTACTTATTCTGAAATGTCAAACATTTTAATTTTAACTATTTTGAGTAGAAATTTATTTTTAAAAAGCATTTAGTTTTCACTTTCTAATGAAAGAGTACTATGAGTGTTACCAACCAGAAATTTTCTCGACAATTTAAAGACTTAAGAAATCTTTGATATGTTGGGTTCAAGAGCTATTGAGCTCTTTGTTCATACTTCCAGAGTCTCCAGATTAGTTGAGGATTTTGAATTTTTAAATCTCTTGTTTTTATTTTTTAATCTGCCTTGATTTTCACATTTTTAGTTCTCACTTATTATTACAAATGAACCCTTTCTTCTACTTTCTATTATACTTTTGTATTTCTCTTATGCATTGAAACCCCCAAAAATGTTTGCTTCAAATTGTGTCAACAATAAGAGTAAATAGGTATCAAGTGAGTGCATTAGGTACTCTTTCATGAGAGACGTGTATATGTTTTGTTTTGTTGGTGGCTGTTGATATGTCGTTTGTCCAGAGACTGTTGCATATTTCTTGGAGCAAATATCTTTCGTCTGAATTCTACCAGTTACTTTGAGAAAACTCTTGTTGCTTTGGTACATGTTAATATTGTTGAGGTTTTGAATAATTTGGGGTAGTATGATTATACATATATTTAAAATAGTGCTTATTTTATTTTTATATAATTATAAAAATTATGAATAAAAAATTTTTTTTAATACAAGGCTGAAAAGCAGTCAGCTAAACTACAGGCTGAACGCTTGGAAAAAGAGCTACAATCAAGCAGTGAACAAAATACTGTTCTAATCAGTAAATTGCATAAAGCTGAGCGGGAAATAAATACGTTGACCAGTAAAGTAAGTCATTTTAATGTTTCTACTTCATTCTTTAGAATGCTTGATATTGCATAATGACAAATTTTGTATTCAAATTGTTTACTTCTCTATATTGAAATCTTTTTTTATCCTATCATTCTGCCTTCCAAATATATATAGAAACTGAAGAGTTTTTACTGCCTTTACTGTGACTACTCTTGTCCAAGCCATGATTTCTCTAGGTTCAATTTTTACAGTAGCCTCCTAACTCTCTACCTATTCAGAGCTCTGCATGATCTGGCCTCTGCAGTCTTTCCAGAGCCATCACAGTCCATTTTCCCTCCTGTTCAGTTTGCTTCAGCCTTACTGGCCTTCTTCTCACTCTTACTTAAATCTGTCCTAGGGCCTTTGCACTTGCCTGCTGACATGGTCTTCCCTCAGATCCATATAGCTTGCTTTCTTGCCTCTTTTTTTAGAGAGGCCTTCCTTGTTTACACATATAAAATACCATCTTCCCTCTTCCTGCCTCACTGTCTGTCTTCTTTACCTGCTTTATTTTTCTTCATAGCTCTTAACAGCATTTGATATATTTATATTTGTTTATTTTTTGTCTCTTCTCTTCTCTCCCACCCCCTTTCCTTCAACCAAATAGAAGCTTTAAGAACAGGGACATTGCTTTTATTACTCCTTGTACCTCCATCTCCTGCAACAGTGCTGACACACAACAGGCACTCTATAAATACTTGTTAAATGAGTATTTTAATAACAGCAGCATGGTGTGCATTTATGTTATTTTTATGTTATTTTTTGAAAGATTATTTATTTTAGAGAGAGAGAGTGTGTGTGAGAAAGAGGAGGGGGAGGGCAGAGGGAGAGAGAGAATCTCCAGCAGACTCCCCGCTGAGCATGGAGCCCGACACAGGGCTTGATCCCAGGATCCCCAAGATCACGATCTGAGCTGAAATCCAGAGCCATCAACTTAATCGACTAAGCTACCCAAGTGCTCCTACGTTATATTTAAAAGAATATATATAATGGTGTACACATCTTTTATATACCAAGTTTTCTCAGGAACTTACAGTTTTTCCCCTTCACATGCTCTATATATAAGGAATCTGGTAACCAGAAATAGAGCAATGATAAAAGTATTCTGTAGAAAACTGTAGTGAATAACAATAACTTCTCTGGAGTCAAGACAGACTAGATTCAAATTCCATTTATTTTCCTTAGTAGCTGTGAGACCTTGAGCAATTTACTTTCTCTCTGAAAATTTTAGTGTTTTTCTTTATAAGCAGACTAATATCTACCTTATAGATTATGGCAAAATTAAATGCAATATTATGCATAAAGCACTTTGCATAAGGTCTAGTAGATAATTACCCAAATATTAGCTATTACTAATGGTAGTACTTGGGGGCATCTTCAAGATCTTGGAAATAAGTTTGGTTTCTGAATCAGTGGAATCAATTATTTTCCATCAGAGCAGAATTATGTAAAATTACCTTGAAAAACAAAATGGCTCCCAGACCAGAAGGAACTTACTGTAGCATAGTAGAAATGAACTTATCTAAAGGAGTAATGTAGTCATCATAAATTCCTTGGCCAAGGAATTACTTGAGAGGACTTAGGCAGTGTTCATGACAGAGAGAAGATAGAGTTTTAGTCAGTAGAATGTAAGTATTCTGTCCCATTGGAGAGATAATTCTTACTGTGGGAAGGAATACACCAATCTGTTGTTGTTTTTTTTTTTTAAAGATTTTATTTATTTATTTGAGAGAGAGAATGAGACAGAGCGAGCATGAGAGGGGGGTGGATCAGAGGGAGAAGCAGACTCCCTGCTGAGCAGGGAGTCCGATGCGGGACTCGATCCCGGGACTCCAGGAGCATGACCTGAGCCGAAGGCAGTCGCTTAACCAACTGAGCTACCCAGGCGCCCCAACACCAATCTGTTTTAAATGGTGAGCATGAAACTATCATTTCATTTCATTCCATTTTTCTGATTGTATGATCACCAAACAACTTTCTGTTATTTGACTTCCCATATAATTTTGTCTACAGGGAGAGAATGCACACTGGTCCTTCAGACTTAGAGTGTTCTATTCTCCATTATAGTTTTTTTCTCACAGTTCTGATTTTATAGACCAATCTTTGTAAACTTTATTAATGTGAGTGCAGCCTTAAGAGTGGTGATTTCTGTGTCAGAAAGGCCATAAGCCATAATACTATATGTATTAGATGCCACCCTTGGGAGATAGTCTACCCAGTTTTTTCCATGGCAAACACATACTCTTTTATGTTTGCAGATTCTGTCTCTAGTGACATTAAAAATTTTTGTTTGAATTTTTATACTTTACAGTTTACAAAGTGGTTTTGTAGCCAGTGTATCATTTAATTCATTAGACATGGCTGACACTAGAAAGAATAAGTGAAAATTAGGCAAGAAGGGGGTGCCTGGGTGGCTCAGTCATTAAGCGTCTGCCTTCAGCTCAGGTCATGATCCCAGGGTCCTGGGATCGAGCCCCGCATCGGGCTCCCTGCTCGGTAGGAAGCCTGCTTCTCTCTCTCCCAGTCCCCTTGCTGTGTTCCCTCTCTCGCTGTCTCTCTCTGTCAAATAAATAAATAAAATCTTTAAAAAAAGAAAAAAAAAAAGAAAATTAGGCAAGAAGATTTTTAATTGTTGAAATACTTTTATTCAAATGTCTTCTAGTCTAGCTTATAGGTTGAGACTAAGATGTATTTAGAAATTAAAAACTCATCTTGGAGGAGGTAATGAAGTACAATAGAAAAGTCCATGGACTTGGAATCAGATAAATCTGTCTTTTGATCCTGACTCATTTATCTCACTCATTACCTGTGTGACTTCTGATTTGCTTAACTTTTAAGTGGGAACAATGCCTATCTCTTACAGGATTTTTCTAAGATTAAAGATGGTATTGGGGCGCCTGGGTGGCTCAGTCGTTAAGCGTCTGCCTTCGGCTCAGGTCATGATCCCAGGGTCCTGGGATCGAGCCCCACATCGGGCTCTCTGCTCGGCCGGGAGCCTGCTTCTCCCTCTCCCACTCACCCTGCTTGTGTTCCCTCTCTAGCTGTCTCTTTCTCTCTCTGTCAAATAAATAAAATAAAAATCTTTAAAAAAAAAAAAAAAGATGGTATTGAATGCAGTAAATAGTAGCCTATGATGAAAATAAAGGCAACAGTTTTACACTGGTGTTATCCTTAAATGAGAAAATGATATACATAAAGACACTGGCCTTTGAGCCCATTGACTAGTTCCATTCCTCACTATATCAATAACTGTGTGTAGAACTTTAAGCAAGTTTCCTCATAGATGAAATGAAACATTGTTCTAGCTCGTCCCTAGCAACTCATCCAGCCTACTAGGATTGTATAAGTCCTATTGGAAAATAAATTAATAATTTAATTGCTTCCTGATTATCCTAAGTAGATTATTTATACATTCAAATGTATACATATTGAGAGAGATAAACTGAGTTCCTACAGTGATAGAGTATACAAAGAAATAGAGTATACCAAGAAGTAAATTCAGGAAGTTCTCTTATGCCTTTCTTCCAATTCTGGTATTGCTAAGAGTTACCTAATTTTAAGGGCACACTTGGTTTTTTGCATATAAATGGCATATTAAAAACCACCTTCAGCTTTAGACAAACCAAGTTTTCATTTGGAATCATGCATGTAAAAAGGTTTCATTGGAAGGATAAATTTTAAAATGATATTTCAAACATGATTGTCACAGTTTTCTTTGCAACTTGAAATTTTCATCAATATTTTGCAGCTCTAGCAAATGGTTGTTTGCAATGCAAAGGAGCACCTGGGATGTATTGTCTAAGTTATTCAAATTTGTAAATGTCATGTTTTTGAACAGAATTATGTCAGTGTGATTCGCAGTGTCTTGGATTAAAAAGTATTACCAAAGATTGCCTGAAAATGGTGACCTTAAAGATACTTAACATTCAGGTTGCCAGGGTGGCTCAGTTGTTAAGTGTCTGCCTTCCGCTCAGGTCATGATCCCAGGGTCCTGGGATCGAGCCCCGCGTCGGGTTCCCTGCTCAGTGGGAAGCCTGCTTCTCCCTTTCCCACTCCCCTGCTTGCGTTCCCTCTCTTGCTGTGTCTCTCTCTGTCAAATAAATAAATAAAATCTTTAAAAAAAAAAAAGATGCTTAACATTCAATGAGATAAATTCTAGGTACCTCAGGAAGTGTTTGATCTTTAAAACTCCAATAAAATATGCAGTTTAAGGAAATCGTCCCACTCAGATATCCTTATTAGCTACATTAATGAGGTCATACCATCTCAGACCTTTGAAAAAGATCAGAGTTTAAGTACTGTCTCTTCAGAATTTGTGTCAAGAGCTTCTTGAGTAATACATTTTACCTTTCTTGCTTACATATATTGTTTTCTTGCATGTCTGTGTATATGTGTATGTGTAATTTAACAGATTCTGAACCCTTGTGAAATGCCTAATATTGCTATTTTTTTTGTTTCTTAAACTTAGTAGCACTAGGTAGTACTTTCTGGATACTTGCTTCTGTTATGTCAAAAGCATAAAGCAAATTGGCAACATGAAGGCCAAAATGGAAAATGTATTGTGGAAAAAAAAAAAGAGAAACAGGGTACCTTGGCCCATGGAACATTTTAACATTACTCATTTTGTTTAGGAAATGATCTCTAGTTCTCCTAGGAATTTGAGGCCTGATCACAAAAAAGGTGAAGAACCAGGGATCTAGAGTCAGAAAGAAAAGTTTATTGGGACTAGTTGGGATTTGGTTCAGATTACTTATAGAAAGTGCTACTGTTTGTCATAGTTTAGTAATAAAATTCCTGTAAGTTTTTCATTTTTAATAAATCCTTTTAATGTATTTTTAGGAAGTTAACAATTACTATAAGTGCATTCATTATTTTAGGATTATAGAAATTTGGCACTATAGGAAAACTGAAACTCCTATAGGTTCATAGATGAGTAAATTCAAATGCAGCGAGGACAAACACTTTGAGCATATACCACTAGTTTAATAATAAAAGTAGGCCTGAAGTCAGACTTTACTTGTTTGACTTCCTGTCTACTGTTCTTTCAGTTTCAATAATTATATTTCAGTTGAAAAATATTTTCTCAGGTTGAAATGAATTAAGAAATAGGTTTTTTATATATTTCGTAGTTCTTGTTGAATCAAGTTTTTGCAAAATAAGATGGCTCTAATTTTCCACCTCATATTTAGAGAAGCTGCGGTGTGGTTTGTTAATTGTTATGTCATTCTTAACCTTTTACAGCTAGTATATAATAGCAGGTTATAATTTCATTTGTTATAGAAATTGGATTTTCATTGTAGTTGTATTTCTTCAAAATTTTAAAACATTTATAGTGTAAATTCTGTCTGTCCATGAAATTATAATGTAGTAGAGTCCAATCCACAGAAAGGTTAAGTTGTTAAAATAAATACAGTTTCTTAGCTGCTTTCATGTAGTTAAACATTGTTCTGTGAGACTTGCTTTCAGAAGTGTTTAAAACTGCAAAGCTGGGGTCAGCACAAGGTATTCATTTTATGTAGTGTCATTTATTTTTTTATTTTGGGGGGGGTCCTTTTTTAAATTTAAATTCAATTAATTAACATATAGTGTATTAGTTTCAGAGGTAGAGTTCAGTGATTCATCAGTTGCATAGAACACCCAGTGCTCATTCCATCACTTGCCCTCCTTCATGCCCATCACCCAGTTACCCCATACCCCCCACCTACCTCCCCTCCAGCAACCCTCAGTTTTTCTTTTTTTTTTTTTTTTTTAAGATTTTATTTATTTGCGAGAGAGAGAATGAGAAACAGAGAGCATGAGAGGGAGGAGGGTCAGAGGGAGAAGCAGACTCCCTGCTGAGCAGGGAGCCCGATGTGGGACTCTATCCCGGGATTCCAGGATCATGACCTGAGCCGAAGGCAGTCACTTAACCAACTGAGCCACCCAGGCACCCCCCTCAGTTTCTTTCCTATAGTTAAGAGTCTCTTATGGTTTTTCTCCCTCTCTGATTTCATCTTGTTTTATTCTTCCCAGGTTTGTTTGGTTTTTTTACTAACCAGAATCATGCTGTATGTATTGTTCTTTGATGTGCTTGTTGGTGATGTTCTCAGCCTTGCACACTCCTTTTATCCATTCTATATTCCACAGAAATAATGTCACTGTTTGGGTTGCTTCATTCTGCTGTTATAATTATGCCTACTTTTGTACACAAACTTGAGCACAGGGGCTGGAATTTGAGGGGAAGAGTGCCAGTTTGAGCCCTTGGCAGTCTGAGGTGAAGGCGTGTTGACTTGGCATTGAGCAGGTGACAGGCTGTGCATGCTGACTCGGGCAGGAGGGCGGCTGGACTGTGGATTTGGGACCCACAGGCCGATGGCATCATGTGTGACAGGGACATGGCTGGTTTTGCTTTTAACTTTTATTTTTCTGGGACACTCCATCTCTCCTTCTATTCTAAATGAAAGCCTTGCTGGATAGAGTATTCTTGGCTGTAGATTTTTTTCCTTTTAGCAGTTGGAATTATCATGCCGCTGTCTTCTGGCTTGCAGAGTTTCTGCTGAAAAACCCATGATAGCCGTTATGGGGTTTCCCTTGTATGTCACTGCTTTCCTTTCTCTTGCTGCTTTTAAAATTCTCTCTTTATCACTACTTTTGGCCATCTTATTTACTTTGTGTCTTGGTGCAGACCTCTTTGGATTGGTTTTGTTGGGGGCTCTCTGTGCCTCCTGGATTCTGGATTTCTTTCATTCCCCAGATTCAGGAAATTTTGAACTTTCAATTATTTCTTCAGACAGATCTTCTGCCCTCTTTTCTTGCTCTTCTCCTTCTGGGAGCCCTGTCATGCAACTGTTATGCTTGACAGTGTCGCTGAGTTCCCTGGGTCTATTCTCATTTTGCGTATTTTTTTCCCCTCTCATCTGCTCAGCTTGATTACTCTTTCTTGCAGGTGGCTGATCCGTTCTTCCTCTTGTTTGCTACTTATTCCAGGTGGTCTATTTTTATTTCCATTTACTGAGTCCAGTAGCTCTAATTGGTGCTTTTTTACGTCTCCTATCTCTTGGTGGAGGGTCTCATGAAGGTTCTGCACTCTTTTCTCAAGTCCAGTGAGTATCTTTATGAGCATTACTTTAAATTCTCTATCAGACATATTACTTATCTCCATTTCGCTTAGATCTCCTGCTCTGATTTTGTTCCACTCTTTCATTTGGGACATATTCCTCTGTCTCCTCATTCTGTCTGTTGCTGTGTCTGTTTTTCTGTGTTAGGAAAGTCAGCTGTGTCTCCCGCACTTGAAAGTAGTGGCTTTGTGAAGAAGAGGTCCTGCAGCACAGTGTCTCCTTTTCATCAGAAAATGGTGCTTCACGGGGTGTCTCCTATACGTGTGTTGCTACAAGGTGTCCTACCATTGTGGCTGGGATGTGTTTGCCTTCAGTCCGGCCTGCGATGGCTCTCTGCCTGTTGTGAGTAGAGTCTGGTGCCTGTGGTGTTAGTGAGCCGGTCTGGGGCTGCCTTGGGCTCGAGTTGAGTCAGACCAGGTGTTGGCCGGAGATGAAGTAGCACCAAACTACAGGCACTTTCCCTGTGTTGTCCCCTGAGAAGTTTTTGTTGGTGGGTGGGGCCTGCAATCAGACCATCTGCCTGCCCCCAGCGCACTGCTGGGGTCACAGTCAGACTGGCGTGTGGTTATCTTCCCCGCTCCCTGGAGCAGGACTCACTTTGGAGTGGTGCCGGCCCTTGTTTGGGCCACGCGCACACTGCCAGGCTTGTGGCACCGCTTTGATGGGATCTTGCCAAGAGCGATCGGAGGGGGTGGATCTGCTTTGCTATGGCCTTTTGTCTACGTCGGGCTGCGGGGAGTCTGTTCTGCCAGTTTTCCGGTTGTTTTCTGGGTTATTTATGCCGATGTGGGTGCTCTCCAGGTGGCCACGTGGCAAGAGGTGAGCCCAGGGTCGTCCTACTCCGCCATCTTCCCAGCAGCCTCTGTAGTGTCATTTAAAAATCTCTAAGTTTATTTGGAAGCAAAGCATGCATCTTAAATGTGGTTAGCAGTACAAAGGCAGCAGAGTACTTGCTTTTCTGTTGTTCTTTAAGTGAGGATTTTGACCAAACCCTTCCTTACATGTTTTTAAGACCTTTCATAGATGGAGTCTCTTTTGGTAAGACACTTCTGTTTCTCATCCTTCCCCTCTTTGGCTCTAGGAGCTCTTTCTCATTTGTTTCTAACTCCCATCTTCAGTTTTTATAGATTTCTGTTGCACTCAAGGATATTATCCTCTTCCCTCCTGTTCCCATCATCTTACATTTTACATATTTGGCTTGTATATATTTGTGGTTTTCTACTCTAATTTCATCGTTTTATGCATCAGTATGTCAGAGTACAGGTTTATCTAATTTTTATATCTGTATTGGTTAAATCCTCATTAGAGGATTAACTGTAGGACTAACTTTAGAAGCACCTTACCAAAAGGAAAGGAAATGGAAAATATTAGAGGGTAGTGCAGATAACTGGAGAGATTAAGCTTTTTTGTTTGCTTCTGTAACCCCAGCTCCTACAACTGTGCTAGGGCACATAATAGGTACTCAGTAAATATTTATCCAATGAATGAATACTACTCATGAACTAGAATCATTCAACTTGTCTCAGAGAAAACTAAAAATTAGTCTGTGATTGGTTAATTATATGGAAAATATTGACAATTGTCTCCATTCACTCAGGGCTTTAAAAGAATCAGGTTTGGGCAGTAAAAGTTTAAATTAGATTCATATGTTTTATGCTCATTCTTCCCACTGCCACCACACACACACACACACACACAATTCAATTGATTCTTCCTTCTTGCCCACTTGGTCAATCCTTTGCCTCTTAATTGGTGTCTTTACCTTCAGTTTCTTAATCTTAATTTGCAATTAGAGTTAATTTTCTGAAACAAAGTTGATTGTGTCCCCTTCAGTAGCTAACAGGATACGCAGCCCTTTTGTACGGCATATAAAGTTTCTTCTCTGCCAGTCTACAGATTTCCTGCCTTCCTCTGTTCTAACACATTGCTCATTGTTTCTTGCAGGCATACTGTGTGATGTTATGCCTTTATAACATTTTATGTGCTGTTCCTTATATCTAGAATGCCTTCTTGTCACCAGCACTTTTTTTTAAAGGGAGGTTTCAGGTTTTTTTCTCTGAAGATGTGTCCGTCGTTGACTATTGGATTTTAGGTACTTGCAGTTAAGCCTTTTAAGGCAAGATTAAGCCAGATGATCCCAGCCAGATATTTGTAAAGAAATAACTCAATTCTGTTAGGAAAAGGCTGTTTTCTTGGTACCAAATACTGTTCAAGGCCCTGAAGCACCTTCCCATTGGAAGGTACTTACACTGTGTACTCTGCTACCAAAACGTTTTCTCATTTCTACTGATGTTTTTGGGTAAGCAGTTAATGGCAAGAAAATGACCTATAGTAATTTCAATTTCTAATTATCAACAGGTAAAAGAACTTAAACATTCAAACAAACTAGAAATAACAGACATCAAACTGGAGGCAGCAAGAGCTAAGAGTGAGCTAGAAAGAGAAAGGAATAAGATTCAGAGTGAACTGGATGGTAATATATGATTTCCCGTGCTTTTTACTATTATTTTTACATACAAATTATTAAAATAAATCAAACTGAATTTTTATTTCCAGATTTTCAGCCTAATTGAATTTTAATTTGAGAGCACATATGGATTATTTTTATTTGTGTTGAATGTTCATTTTGTGATGTGTCTTTTTAAAAAAAATCTTATGTTTATGTCAGTTATTTGATTAATACATAAATTAAGTGAAACTTTACAAATGGGATTTCATACTTTCTGGGTTTATAGTTGTGAATCTATTTAGATCATGTGATTATTAGTCCCAGACCATTTTAAGACTTAAGAAAGTAAGGAAGATAGGTGGATCCCCAGCCCAGTTTTTGTTTTTATGTAAACAGTAGGCTAGTTATTGGGCCTATTTTTAAGCTCCAGTGTAGTCTTAGAATGTCCTTCTCATCAAGATTCCTCAGAATTATATTATTTCTGATTTTTCTTAAGAGGTGTTTAAGCTACCTTTGGCCTATAACTGTCCTCAAGTTGGTCTTTAGTTGACCTGGCCTATGTAGTTTCAGACAGAGCTTATGATGAATTACTGTTTTCATCATTAATCTCTACTTGATGTTGATTCATGAATTTCTGTAGACTTAGGGAGTAACTTTTCAAGGGACTTAAAGAGTTTATGATCTAGTTATGCGTTCTTTTTAAATTTTGTGTTAGATATGAATTTGTTTTAGTTATTTCATCTGCAAAATACTTGCCATATCAATATAAGGAAAATTTGTGAATTCATTGGATAAACTTGAAAGTTTCCAATTTATATTTCTTTTTTTTTTTTTTTAAGATTTTATTTATTTATTTGAAATAGAGCGAGAGCATGAGCTGAGAGAGGGAGAGGGAGAAGCAGGCTCCCCACTGAGCAAGGAGCCTGATGCAGGGCTTGCTTGATCCCAGGACCCTGGGATCATGACCTGACCTGAAGGCTCCCGACTTAACTGACTGAGCCACTCAAGCGCCCCTCCAATTTATATTTCCATTGGAAATATATAACACATCTGCTAGAATGATAGGTTTTGATGGGTTCTATGATTTTATTCACTCTACTTCCAGCCAGCTTTATGATGATGCTGTCTGTGGGGCTAAGGTTATAAAACCCTTTTAGAAGTGAAGTAAGTATTTATATCTCTTTGGATATCACCTGGGTTGATGTCCCCAGCTCTCAAGAGTCAAGTGAGTAAATGTATGTAGTCTTTTATTAAAGCATTTGTATATGTATGCTAAATAAAATAATGACAGAATAGTTAATTCTGAGTTTTAGTAGGTTTCATTCTTGAAAGGTTTATTAGTAATGTATAGATCTTTGAGAATACATATCCAGACTTTCTACGCTTTTTTAGTCGTCTTACGAGTTTATGGATGCTTGCTGTTAGATTTTTTCAGCTTAATAACACTGAATACAGCATATCTTTTTCCTTAAAAAAAATATTAGGATTACAGTCAGACAATGAAATTCTCAAGTCGGCTGTTGAACACCACAAAGCTCTCCTAGTAGAAAAGGATCGTGAATTAATACGTAAAGTACAAGCTGCCAAGGAAGAAGGTTATCAAAAACTTGTGGTATTACAAGATGAAAAGTAAGTACTTAATTACCTTATTTTGTGTTCAATCTCCTTGCAAATGAAAATATTTTGCTGTCATATCATCCTCATTGTAGTTCTTGTAACATAATTATCATCTGTTGTTTTAGGATAGAACTTGAGAACAGATTAGCGGATTTAGAGAAAATGAAAGTGGAACATGATGTCTGGAGGCAATCTGAAAAGGATCAGTGTGAAGAGAAATTGCGGGCTTCACAGATGGCAGAAGAGTTGGCCAGAAGGGAACTTCAGAGTATTAGGTTATATATGCATGTATATATTTTAAACTTCATTTTGAAATAATTTCAGAGGTAACAAAACATTGTAAAATTCCCACATGGTCTTCACCGAGATCTTTATAAAGATTGACATCTTACATGACCATATTACAATAGTCAAAGCTAAGATACTAACATTAATATAATCAGGAAATAAATATTAGTGTTATCAAACCTATAGACTTTATTCAAATTTTACCAGTTGTCCTACTGATACCGTTTTTCTGGTCCAAGATCCAGTCCAGAATCATACATTGCCTTTCCTTGAAGAGTGCTGACCAGTTATTTTTGTAGCTTGTCCCTCAATTTGAGTTTGTCTTAAATTCTTTATGATTAAATTCAGGTTGTATATTTTTAGCAAAAATAATACTAGAGTCAAAGTCATGTGTCCTCAGTGCATTATATTAGGAGGTATATTATTTGTCCCCTTACTGGTGATGTTCACTTTGATCATTTGGTTAAGGTGGTGTTGGCCAGATTTTTCCGGTATAAAATGACTTTTTTTCTCTTTGTGATATATAATTATCTTATGGGGAAATACTTTGAGACTATGTAAATTTTCTCATCATACTTTCTCATCATACATTCTTCCACTACTCTTAGCACCCAGTGGCCAAATCTGAGACAATTTGAGCAAAGAAATAAGTTGTAATAAAAGGTTATAATCCATAGGATAAAATAAAAATCTGTGTGTCCAGATGGTATAATGTATAATATTTAGAGAGAAGGAAAGCTCTTTTCAGGAGAATTCCAACTAATAAACGTAGAAAGAATGATGGAAATAGGAAAAGATCATTTGGCAAACACTATAGTAGAAATGATAGGCATGATGTCAAAAATTTTCAAAGGTTTTCAGCATCTCTGGAGACAATCATAATTTTTCCTCTCTTATACTGTTAATATTGTGTGTTAATGGATTTCTTAATCTTGAACCAACTTAACTTCTGGAATAATTATCTGTTTATTTTATAGAAAACAATCTATTAAAGCTCTCTGTCTCTATTGGGATCAATTTTTATAATCTGTGTTTTCATATGAAATTATTTCATCTTGGTTTTCAAATTTGTCTGCATAGAGATCTGCAGAATAGTTTTTATTTTTCAATTTGTTCTGTTTCAATGCTTACTTTCCCTGGAGCCATTTCTTATTTGTATATGTGCTTTCTTCCTCTCTTTGTTAATCTAGTCAGCTAGTGCTTTGTTGATTTTATTCTTTTTATTGTGATAAAATATACATTACAGAATTCACTATTTTAATCATTTTAAGCGTACGTTTCAGTATTTTTTAAATTAGGAATTTGATTTATGGAGTCAATTGTTTTTCTATTTCCTACCTCATTAATTTCTACTCTCTTCTTTCTGTGTTTTTCTGCCATTAAAAAGTTTTTATAGTTTTATTAGTGTTTAGCATACATAAAATAAAATTCATCCATTTAAATAATGTGCAGCTCGATGCTTTTTGGTAATTGTATAAAGTTTTGTAATCATCACCACAGTAAAAGCATAGAACAGTTCTATTACCCTAGAAGTTTCCCCATGTCTATTTGCAATTGACCTCTCCTCTGATCCCCAGCCTTAGGCACCCCCAGATTTATCCATGTTGTTGCATATATCAGTAGTTCATTCCTTTCTATTGCTGATTAATATTCCATTGAATGGATGTAACATTTGTTTATTCATTTTCCTTTTGATGGACAGATATTTGGGTTATTAGTTTGGGGCTATTATGATTAATGTTGCTATGAACATTCATGTACAAGTCTTTGGGCATACATTTTTATTTCTCTTGGTTAAATGTCTAGGAATGACATTTCTTTGTTTTTAAAGATTTTATTTATTTATTTGAGAGAGAGAATGAGAGACAGCACAAGAGGGAAGAGGGTCAGAGGGAGAAGCAGACCCCCTGCTGAGCAGGGAGCCCGATGCGGGACTCGATCCCGGGACTCCAGGATCATGACCTGAGCCGAAGGCAGTCGCTTAACCAACTGAGCCACCCAGGCGCCCTAGGAATGACATTTCTGAGTGATGACATATAGCAATACTGTTTTATAACATACATAGCAAAACTGTTTTACAAAGTAGTTATGCTGTTTTGCATTCCTGTAGCAACGTATGAGAGTTCCCCATGACAATTCCATATGATTCACACATCTTAACTGATATTTGTTATTGTCCGTCTTTTTAACTTAACTCTAGAAGATGTGGAGTAATATATCATTGTGGTCTTAATTTGATTTTCCCCAATGGCTAATGTTGGTTAGCATCTTGTAATGTGATTTTTTGAAGTATTCATCCAAATATTTTGCCCATATTTAAAATTGGGAAATTATTTTCATATTGAGTTGTAACAGCTCTTTATTTTGCAACAAGCCCCTTGTCTGTGGATTGCTTTGTTTAATTGTGTCTATTGAAAGCCAAATTTATTTTGATGTCTGTTTTATCATTTTTTTTCTAGTTTGTTTTGTGTGTGTGGGGTTTTTTTTTTAATTTTTAAAAAACTTATTTAAGTGATCTTTATGCCCCACATGGGATTTGAACTCACGACCCTGAGGTCAAGTTGCATGCTCTATGGACTGAGCCCTCCAGCCACCCCTTTTGTGTGTTCTCTTTAAAAGAAAGCTTTGCCTAATCTTGTGTTACAAAGATTTCTATTTTGTTTTCTTCTAAAAGATTAATATTTTGTTTCTTACACTTAGGTTTTATGATCCAATTCATGTTAATTTCTGTGTAGTGTGAGGTGATGGTAGACATTCATTTTTTATTTCCATATAGGTATCCTGTTGTTCCAGCATCATTTGTTGAACACTCTCTTTTCCTCTATTGAATTATTTCGGTTCCTTTGTTGAAAATCAGTTGACCATTTAAGTGTTTCTGTTTCTGGACTCCGTCCTATTGCAGTGACCTGTTTGTCCGTCTTCACATGACTATCACACTGTCTTGACCACTGTGGCCTCATAGTAAGTTTGATGCAGGTAGTGCAAGTCCTCTCCACCTTGTTCTTTCTTATAAAGATTGTTTTGGCTTTTCTAGGTCCTTTACCTTTCCACATAAATTTTAAAATCAGACTGTCACCTTTTTCAAAAAGGCTTGTTAGCGTTTTGATTGGAATTGCAATGAATCTGTATTGTAGCTCAGTTTGAGAAGAGTTGTCATCTCAACAATATTGTGCCTATCCAATCCATGAATATGGCATGTCTCTTCATTTAATTAGGTCATATTTAATTTCTGTCATCAGAGTTTTATAGTTTTCATTGAATATGTCATGCATATCTTATGTTACATTTTATTCCTCAGCATTTTTATGTGATTATAAATGGGAGTGTTTTTTTAAAAATTACACTTTCTGTTTATTGCTGGCATGTGGAAATATAGTTAGTGGACTTTTATGTAATGACCTTGAATCCTGTGACCTAACTAAAGTCATGTATTTTCTACTAACTGCTTTGTAGATTTTGAGTTTTCTAAGATCATGTTGTATACCTTATGCTTAATTTCAGTTTACTTTGTTCATTTTTTTTGGTATATTTTGAGTTGGGAGTTTAACTCAACAAGTGTTCGTTGTTTCATTTTTATTGGTAAAGTTTCTAGTATGAGATTTTTCTTATCCCTGTTTTAAGTATATTAAGTATATTCTGTAGTGTTTTAATTATCATTATCTTTTAGGATTCTCTAATTTCAATTTATATTTTCCTTTTCACCCAAGAATTAATAGATGTATTAATAGAAGGTATAGTTGTTTAGTAAGAGATGAAATTAATAGTTTGCTGGGACTGTCATAATAAAGTACCACAGTCAGGAGGGTTTAAACAATAGAAATTTATTTTCTGATAGTTCTGGACACTAGAAGTTTGAGATCTCAGGGTGGTGTCAGATTTGGTTTCTCCTGAGGTCTCTTTTGTCGTAGGCTCGTAGATGGTTACTTTCTTGCTCTGTTCCCATATGGTCTTTCCTCTGTGTGCCTGTGTCTCTAATAACTTTCCCTCTTCTTGTGAGGATACCAGTCATACGGATTAGGACTCACCCAGATAGCTTTATTTAACCTTAGGTACCTCTTTAAAGGTCCTGTCTCCAAATGCAATCCCTATCTAAAGTGCTGTGGTTGAGACTTCAACATACAAATTTTGGGGAGACATAGCTCAATCCATAACAGAAGGTTTTTGACTTTCCAGGTAGGAGGCCTTTTTGTTTTTTTATTTTGTTAATTTATAGTTTTAGTGCATTGTAATCAGAAAGTATTGTTTCTATTATTTCTATTTTATGGAATGCACTGATTTGTGTGTGTGTGTGTGTGTGTGTGTGTGTGTGTGTGTGACCTAATATATTAAGGCCAGGACTAGGGTTAAGCAACTGAGACACCCAGGGTAAAAAATTTAAGGAGACACTCTTGTATGTCAACACTGAACATGCTCTAAAGTGAGCTTTAAAGGAGCTCTAAAGTGAGTCTTTTTAAATTTTACATTTCGCTTTGCATCAGTTTTTGTTACTGCTACGTAAGCACTAGAATAGAAAGTGTTCAATTGTAGGCGTTAAGTCTATTATTATTATTAGCACGTTTCTCTCTGTGACTCCTTGCATTTCTTGTGGATTTCTTCAAAAAGATGATTGCTGTATTATTTGGCATATAGATGATTATAATAGTTACAATCTTAATTGTGAATTGTGGTTTTTAGCATTTTAAAAGTGCTTTTCTTTTATCATTTAATGTAATTTGCTTGAGTTCCACATTGATATCATTATTCCTGTTTTCTTATTGTTTCCATTTGCCTGGTATGCCTTTGTTCATCCCCTTATTTTTAGTCTTTCTGAATCATTTTGGTTTTTTTTAAATGTGTCTTGTATGTGTAGCATGTAGTTGGGTCTTGCTATGGAACCCCTTAGTGATCTTTTTATTTTAATGTATGAGTTAAGTTCATTTACATGGAGTGAGCCCATGCTCACTGCAAAGACTCTGGCAGGAGCATGAGTAGTAACTTGCTGGGATTT